GATCTCAGACCTCCTGACTAGCTTAGCTCATGATAGCCACAACAGTCACATATTTCCTGCCACTCTCACTGTCACTCATCCTCAAGCCACTCCCCTCATGGAGAATTAATAAAACCTGGGAAGGGCTCTGGGTCTTGGCTGGACTCCGGACCCTTTGGCTCCTCACAACTGTATACATGTCTCAGTGTCTTTCATCTCTCCATGGGTTGCACTAAAAGTGGTAGATTAAAGTTAACTCACTAGAATTCCAATAACTTCTCCTTGGGATTATAATCATAAATCTTCCTGGACTGCAACGAGGACAAAAAAGGGTTCTGTATAGAGCTAGAGGTGGCAGAGTCCAGAATTCCAAGTGAAATCTCTCCAAAGTCTAGCAACCAATCAGTAACACAAACTACACTTTACTAAGGAGAATAAACAAAATTTAAAGAGATCTATAATGCTTTTGATAGGAAGATGTAAGACACTAAGCCTATTCTGAAAGTCTTGCGTCAGCTCCCAAGTGTGGGGGTCACAGGCATGTGCTGCCACACCTGGCTTCCAAAGATATATTTATCAAAATATTAAAAAGTTAAAATCTTAAAGAATTAATGAGTGATGACCCAAAAGAATATCTGAAAAAGAGGTAAATATCTTAGTGTAATGTATTAAAATCACAAGGCAATGATATTTCAAACTACAGTATGAAAACAATGCAACGGGAAGGAATTTCATAAGGTATATATTCAGGAGAGTATTAGTTTAAGAAAAATTAATTAGCCAGGCATTGTGGCATATACCCGCATTCCCAGTTTTCAGGAGACTGAGGCAGGAGGATCATCATGACTTTAGGTCAGGTTGGGCTACACAGTGAGTTACAGAGAAGCCTAAACTACATATTAAGACCTGTCTCAGAAGAGAAAAAGAAAGTAAGTTAAATACTGATTTTACTACTCTGGGACCCAGAGAGGACAGACCACAATATCTTCATTTCACAGACAACCTGAACCAAATCCAAAGAGGGTAAGTGCCCAAAGGTCTCACGACTTGAGAGTCAGGGCCTGAGGGAGATTCCAGGTGCGGGCACCTTTGGAGAACAAGTCCTCTTGGAGGTCACCTGGTTTTCCCCAATCTGAGTCTTCACCAGGAAGCTAAGCTCAGCCACACTGATCCTAGCTGATAGCCTGTACACTCATGGAGGTCGAGGTAGGCATTGGCTCTCTCTGTACAACTTTGTTTCTTCCTACATTTCTGCCCACTTCCGTAACCTCTAGAATGAAACCACTTTCCGTTCAGTCTAGCCCTTTTGTACTATCATTGAGAACAAGATCTCACAACTATAAACCTACCAAGTGATAATTCATTTTCTCTCATTTCATGATGACCCTAGAAATGATATCCAGTAGCACATGGGCATATTTTGCCCTGGATCTTAGTTTCTAAATATCAATTCCTACCAAAGAAAGTCAGGGATTCTGGAGGAACTGATAATTCCAGGATTCTGACTCCATGTGGGCCTTGGAACTTGCCAGATATCAAAAAAGCAATTAATGATAACAAGTCATGTCAAAAGAATGTAACAGTCTGAAGGCCAAATTTAGGAATATTTGAGTACCAAAATGATTAAGAACAGGGCCAGTAATGTGGTTTAGTGGTAGACCACTTGCTGAGCATATGTGAAGCCCTGGATTCAAACTCTAGCACTGAGAAAAGAATGATGATAATTAAAAATAATCAGTGGTCCATAATGTTACTGAAAAAGAAAGAAGCTGGAAGGAAAGAAACAGAAAAAATGTATTCTGTAAAAAAGAGTACCAAAAGTTGGACATGGTGGTGCACACCTATAATCCCAGCATTTGGGAGGCTGAGCCAGGAGGATCTTTGCAAGTTCAAGGCCAGCTTGGGCTACAAAGTGAGCTCAAGGCCAGCTTGAACTGCATAGCAAGACCCTGTCTCAAAAAGACAAAAAAAAAAAAAAAAAAAAAAAAAAAAAAAAACAACCCAAAAAAAACCAATTACCATCTTGTAACCCTCAGTGTTGTATAATAATTCAACCAAAGATTGGTTGTAGTGTGGGAGGTAATCAAGAATACACAATTCCCATACTCATGAAGAATCACTCCATAGACTTATTGGGATATTTGACTTTTACAAAGGAGACATCAGGTTGTAGGAATTTATATTCATTCATTCATTTAGGCATTAGGGATTAAACTCAACACCTCTGTACTCTTAATTTTTTTTTGTGGGGTACCGGGAACTTTTGAAATTTTGAGACAAGGTCTTACTAAATTGCCCAGATTAGATTCAAATTTGCAATTTTCTCTCAGTCTCCCAGAGTGAGAGGATTGCAGGTATGCACCACTTTGCCCAGATAGCTTGTTACAATTTAAACCAATAATCAATTTTGGCATTCACAGACAGTAGGACCCTGATAATGCTAGGCCTTCTGATGTGATGCAATCATAAGCATGCTCTGTGGGGGAAAATATCCCAAGCACACAAAAATAGCCTGAATCTAATATTTTGAAGTAGCAAGTACACCTGCACAGGTGGAGGGGCTCTATTTAGACTGCATCAGTTGTTCACAAAGAGTCAGTCAAACACAATATGAATCTTAAATGAGTATTAGTTTAAAACCCAAAAAGTATGAAAGATATTTTTGGGCAGCTGGAAAGAATGCAAGATCCACTGCTTATTAAGTAATACTATTTCTTCCTATATTTCTGAGTAACAGTACTAGAGAATGTCATTATTAAAATATGGATGTATTCTGGTACTATACTGAAGAATTTAGGGGTTCAGTGTCAAGATATCAGTATCTTACTTTTTTGGGGGAGGAGACAAGATCCTGCTAGGTTACCCAGGTTGATCTGGAATTCCTGGGCTCAAGTGAACCTCCTGACTCAGGCTCCTGAGCAGCTGGGAATGTGGAGACGAACTACCATGCCTGGCCTGCACTTTTAAAACTATCTGTATTTCCAAAGAAAGAGGAAAGGAAGGGATATTTCTTTTACAGAACTGTAAAGTTCTAGCCAGAGTGCCAGAACCCAATAAATTTCCAGACTCAGTAAGTTATAGATTTGTTGTAATAATACTACCAATAAGTATTAACAATTCCATAATTTTCTTCCCCAAATGCTACTGTATTTTTCAGGGTGAGGAAACCAACCAGAACAAGGCTAAAATAGCCCAGAGTTGGAGAAATTTTAGAATTTAAAGCTAGGAGCTGGGGGATACAGCTCAGCAGGACAGCACCTATCTGTCAAGCACAAGATCCTGGATTTGATTCCCAGTAAAAAACAAAAACAAAAACAAAAAACGCTGGGCGGTCTCTCTAGATTGATTTCTTGCCCTGCACTAAGCTCACTGGTAAGCCTGGCCTCTTCCTGAACTTAAAATCTCTGCTACCACAGCAGAAAGGGAACCCCTGTCTTGGCTCACTGATGATGTTCACAATGAGGGCCACTTCCAGGACTTAGAAGTATTGGAATGATGGGTACAAAGAACCTGAGGGGCTTTGTGGGGCAGGGGACAGTGCATGGTCTTGGCCTGAGCCAGCATCTGAATCAGGCTGCGCCACTTACTAGCTGTGTGGCCCCATGTCTTCCTAAGTGGACAATCAGGATTGTAACAACAACAGCTGTTTATTGAGCAGTTACTATTATGTTAGGTACTTTAACCATGTTCATCTCATAGATGAAGTAGATACCAGGCTCACTCCCAGCTCAGCAGTTTGACATCTGCTATCATCTCTGCCAGGGCTGTGAGGGAAAATCTCATTCATCTGCCAGGTCTCTCAGTTGGAATTTACTCTTTCCAATTTATTTTCACAGCATTTTATTCTTACTTCTTACTACAGCCAACTGGTCTTCCTATTAGGGCCAGGCCAGGCATAAGACTCTCTATCCCCATAAACAGGGGAAGGGAAATTTTTTCCCATTTGGTCAGCTCCATTTTCACCCTTCCCAGATTGACTGTCACCTACTAGTAAGAAAATCTGTCATTTTCTCTGGTTCTTAAAACTTTTTGTTTTCAAGGACAGTCTTGAATTTTTAACTTGGAGCCTAAGGCATTGTGTTAAAGCCTAGGTAAGTACTTAGAGTAACCAAAGGGGACATGCAGAGTGTGGGTGGGTAAATTTCAATGATGATGCCCATGCTCAGAATAATGTGTCTTCCAAGAATCTGGAGGCTTTCTCACCTTATCCAGTTAGCTCAACAGGAAAAGAACTCGGTTCCAGCTTCGGGGACTACGTAGGAGCACTTTCCTTCACCTTCCTAATCAGCTGTATCTGTGGTACCTTTTTGCCCAATCCCTATGTTTAAGAAGCCCACGGGCTCTTCCATCAGTCCCGCATCTCACAGTGCAGGACAGAATCCAAGAGCTTCCTAGATTCAACTGACACTAGGGACCTTGGAGGACAGAAGGAGGAAGGGTCTGACGAAGAAAGTTCACTGACTTTTCTATTCATGCACCAGGAGTATCTTTCACCTGATGTAGACTACCATCCTCTTCCAGAATTTTCCTTCCTCCTCTTGGCTCACTACCCAGCTTCATCTTGTGATGTTCCTCAGGCTCAAGCACTTCATTTCAACCATTCTCCTCCTATGTCCTTCCTGCTCTCCCCAACAACGATGAACAACAATGATAAAAAATTTCCAAATCCTCCTCTTATCCTCATAGTACCACAAAAGGATTGCTGTATAGCACGGTCTTCGGTAGACTCAAGGGAACTGGTCCTTCTGTACAACCCACAGAGGACAGGACACTCCTCCTTTTTGTTCAGTTCTTTGGAGACAGTCTCACTATATACTCCAGACTGGCCTTGAATGCTGTGTAGCCCTGGACGGCTTCAAACTCCTGCCTTAGCTGGGGAGACAGGCGAGCACCACCACCACACCCAGGAACACAACGCTTGTGTTCTTTCCTGCCACTCCAGATTAACCTCTGCCTCCGTGGAGTGCAGGAAAAAAGCACGGTGTGAGGCACTCACCTCACTTCTCCCCAGCGTTCCTCACCTGGAAACCGGTAAGGCGACGCCTTCACAGGGTGTGAGGGATGAGTGAGATCATGTGTGTGACGCACGGCGCTCAAGAGATGGCCTCTTTATTTCCAGTAACAAGGAAAGGACAGTGCTCCGGGCACCCTGGCCTCTCCGGAGCTAGCAGGGGTCCCTCTCATCCTCGGGTCCCTCTCCTTCCTTCCCCACGGTCCTCCGCCTAGTCCAACTCAGGCTAAGCCTCTTCAATCCTGGAACATCCAGCAACCTGCGCCCCTTCTCACCTGGAGAACTCGCCCCTCCCTGCTACACCCGCCGGACTCCTCCCACAATCCCGACCCTCGGGATCCCAGGTTTTCACACCACCTCCGGCCTGGCTCCTCCCACCAGCCCCGCCCCTCTGGACAGTTCGTCCTCCCCTAACTCCCCCCTCTCCGAAATGCATCCCCTCCCCCGCAGCCACAGGCGTGGTCATCCCCACTTCACAGATGAGAACGGCAAGGCTAGGATAGACGACCTTTCACGTTAGGACAGATGCACCAGCGGGCCTGAGTCCCCTCGCCTCTAGGTCCCGAGCGCCCCCGCCGCCCCCTCCCGCCCCGGACCGCGCCGCACCCACCTCCTGCCCTCGCTCTGCGACCTCCCCTCCGCTGGCCGCCAGCGCAGCTCCGCGAAGGGGAGGAGGGCCAAAGCCCAGCCCAGGGGCGTGGTGGCCCGGGACCCTCTCGCTACACTCTGGGATTTGTAGTTCCCTCGGAGCTTCACGCAGCTAGGAGTGCTCAAGTTGAACCCCATCTCCCAGTAAGCATTGTGGAGGCCGCCTTGCTCTCGCCTGCCCCCGCCGGCGCTCAGGCCAGCTGGTCTTAAAGGCGACGCGGTTTGAGCGAAGGCTCATGGGGTGGCCCCCGCTCCGGCTCCGCCCCATTTCCCCGCACCGCCCCCCCCACCCCGTTTCGTCCCGCAGTCCTGCAGCCGCGCTGCAGAATCCGGATCCCTGGGTTCATACAGGATTGTGCAGAGCAGGGTGGGAAGATTGGACTTTGCAATAGAAGCAGCATCCCTGGGACGTGGTGGAGGGAGACGCCACCCTGGGGGGGGGGGACAGTGGACCCGCCCTGATCTAGCCCGGCCCAGCCTAGTTCTGCGGGGCCTGAGCGCCCCGCCCAGGAGCTGGCTCTGAAATAGACCACTGAAGTCTGAGAGGTAAGGGGGTTGGGAGTGTGGGAGTGTCGGGTGGGTGTCTGCACTTTGGCTTTTCGAGAACCCTAGACTTGCCTGTGGGGCTGTAAAGTCAGGTGCCGGGAAGCAGGGGGTCTGAATGCACCTGGGGCACTGCTGTGTGACCTTGGGCAAGTTGCTGCCCCTTTCTGGGCCTTCTTTATCCATTGTATATTGCTGTCCTGAGCTCTCTTCCTTAAGGGTTGAGAGCACCTCCAGGCCTTGGGGAAGAGCTTAGCCTAGGCTGGGCATGGGAGGGAGGGGCTGACCTGACAAACTACGGAGCCCAGAGGGCCACACTGTTTGAAATATGCTTGTACTATTCTCAGCATGGGCCTGGGGTGCTTGTAAAGGCCTTTGCAAATTGGAGACCTGATGTCTTAGCTTGGTTCCCTCCCTTCTAGAAAGCCTGGAATAGGAGTTGGGGTTCAGCCAGCAGAGGTTTAGACGGGGTGGCCCTGCAGGGATGGTGAATACCCGAGGATCTCACCTCATGCCTCTTCAGTTAAATAATTCCTTTTTACCAGTCAAATCCTTTTTTTTTTCTTTCCAGGAGGCAGTTTGGTGGCCTAGACAAGGACTCCCCAGAGTAGGGTGAAGGGTGTCTTTCCAGAGCTGCCTTGGCTAAAAGAAGTTCAGATAAAAATACTGTACAGAGACGTCAGGCGCAGTGGCGCATGCTCGTAATCCCATCCCGTGGTCCCAACTCTGGGGCAACTGAGGCAAGAGGATAGTCTGTGTCCTGTAGCAAGTTTGAGGTCTTCCTGAACTACAAAGAGCCTGTCTCAAAACAAAAAGCAAGACAAACAAAAAACCCAAACCAACACCAAAAACCAGTAACACTCTGTAGGGGTACTATTGCCAGAACCCTGGGAGGCCAGAGACAGAGGGCATTTTCTGATGGAAGAGACAGCTGGGTGCCCTCAGGAATCCCTGGGGTCTAGGGAAGTCAGAAGAGAGAGGCTGGGCATGAGGGTCTGAGAGGTGCTGAGCAAGGGCCAGGGGGATTCTGGGTTCTAGGAAGCCTGAACCTGGGACCTTTGAGTCCTCTTCCTGTTGGAAAAACCTGGAGGGTTAACCTGGAATGGGTTTTTTGTTTTCTTTTTTTTGTCCCCTGTATTTGTTGTTTGAATCATTTCTAGAATAACTATAGCTTTTTAGTCCCACCGAGTGACCCTTGTAGGAGCTTTTGGCTGATATTTAAGATTCTCAGGGTCTTGGATATGCAAGGTCAGGCTTGGACAGGGGAGGGGGTAGGGCCGGACTCTGGGGCAGGCCTGTATCTGGAAGGTACTTTTCTCGACACAGCGTGCTTTTTCTCATCTTGCTGTCACATATCTCTCTTAGTCACCTGACACACTTTCATGGACATCTCTGTGCTTGGTCCTGCCCTGGGTGCAGAGAGGGGTACTGGACCTACTTCCTATCCAAGGGACATCCCAGCCTAGAGGGAGAGATGGGCATGGGATCATCATATTGCAGATAGATGAAAGAAGCTAAGAGGGCCTGGGAGACCAGAGCTTAGAGACCTGAATTGTGGAGGAATATAAAAGGCCAGCCAGAGGAGGGCTAGGTGAGCTGGGCATTACAGGGTGAGGCAAAAGCCCTTCCCAGCAGGATGTCAGGGAAAAGTCCTCTGTCCAAATTCTCTGCTGAACACCGTTAAGTTCAGCCCATCCCCACCCCACCATATCAGTTTAGTGTCAGACACAGTGTCTAACTGGTCCCTTATCCTGAAGGGGCGGGGCAGCCTCAGGGAGTCTGAGTCTGGCTGATGGGATGGAGCTTGTGGGGTGCTAAGGATGATTTCATGGTGGTGCCTAGTGGGTGCCTAGTGGGTGATGAAGGGATGGATGGAGGGCTGAGCTGAGCCCCAGGCATAGATGGGGAGTGGCCTTTGGAGTTGTATACACACAGTGCTTTGGGAGTAGGGTAGATGAGTCAGGTTCCACCGTGCAGGAACAGGAATCTGTCAACACACAGCAGAATGCCAGGGGTCATGGAGAGAGCAGATAAAGGAATCTGCCTTCTGAAGAGGGATGGTGACACTCTTGTGCTACTCTGTGCCCTGGAGCAAGCTGGATGTTGCTGGGACTCTCCGGGGGTGTCATGCCAGCAAGGTGATGGTGTGAGCAAGGGCTTGGGGAGGAGCAGCAGCGCTGGCTGGGAGAAGCTAAGGGATGGACAGGTGTTGTCCTCCAGCTCAAAGAGGTGACCATGGCCACCACAGGGGTAGTAGATCAGCTGTATTCAAAACTTACGACTGTTGGCTGCTAGGGTACTTAGCTCTGTTGGAGGTTGGGTGGGGGGAGGGAGCAAAGATATTGCTTAGGAGACTGCTGCACTAGTCCAGGCAGAAAGAGGAGCTGGTCTTGGGTGGAGCTGCAGCCCCAGTGGAACCCTGAGATGGTGGCGAAGGCCTAAGGAAGGAGATTTGTTTAGAGTCAGGTCAATAGTGCACATCTCTGTCTCCTTTCTTCCCTCGGTGCCAAATGGCCCAAAGGATTTAGGATGGCCCAACCCCACGTTTAAAACATTTTTTTTGATACCAGCTATCGAACTCAGCACCTTGCGCTTGTCAGGAAGGCGCTGTGCTGCTGAACTATATCCCTAGCCCTCATTTTTTGAATACATCTTGTGTGTGGCAGGCCCAGAACTGCCCCCATTTTCCAAGTGAAAAGATTGAGGTGCCAGGCGGACACCCATGCAAGGTCACCTGGTGATTCTGAAGCAGAGGATCTGGATTTCAAGCTTTACAGAGAGCTCTGATTGTGCGATGGGGAGGCCTGCTGTTTAGGCTGCATTTGGCATGGGCAGCTGTTTCCTGGGTCAGAGCCAGCGTGGACAGGCTGTTTCTATCTGGGGCCTCCCATGAGGAATGCCGGGGCCTGCTGCTTTCTCCCTGAGAGCGCAGGTTCTAATCCTGCACAGCTGAGAGGCCTCCCTGCCTCTCACCCTTCCTGAGCCTCAGCTTCCTTGTTCCTCCCAAAGGGATAGCAGATCTTGTCCTGCCTTGTTTCTCTGGCCTCAGGTATGGTCAAGTGAGGCTGAAGCCTCCAGAACCCTTTTGCATGAATGCATTCAAGATAATATTGAGTGGGTTTGTTGGTGACCATGGTGACAGCTGACCGACAGTTGCCTGACTGTTGCCCGATGGCCTGCGTAGGAGTGGGGGCAGGTAGGCAGGGCAGGGCTTGTGTGGTGTGGCCAGGCTGCAGACAGAGCAGGGCTGCAGGGCAGGCCTTGGAGATGAGCCCTTGGTGAATGGCATGGCCTAGCCAATGTGGCAGATATTAGATGGAATGATATGAAATTGCCAGGATTTGAGTGCTCAGTTTTGTGTGGTTTAATACCCATTGTCCCCATTCTACAAGAGACAAGAGGTCTATGGATATGCCTTAAGGTCATCCAGTGAATTTGACCTAACATGCTGGGCTCTCCTGCCCTCTGATTTGCCTTCCTTGGAGCTTTTCCTGGCACCAGAACTCCATTTCTGGCTGCCCATTCTCCACACCAAATGCCAATATGTCATTGACTGGGGTCTCTCAGCTGCCCAAGGATCTGGATTTCTTGGCATCCTGTCTTGAAAGCATGTTAAATCTACCAGCTTTCAGGGCAGGGAGAGGCCATCCCTGGGGTCTGGAGGAGGGACTGTGTCTCGTGTGGGAGGTTGGGCACAGCAACTGCTTTGTCAAGGCACTGCCTAAGAAAAGGGACTGGGGCTAAAGGGAGATCAAGGGTTTTGTTTTTGTTTAGGCAGTGCTGGGGATGGACCTTGTGCATGCAAAGCAAGTTCTACCCAAGTTACATCCTAAACATGGGAGATCTTTTTTTTTTTTGGGTCAGGGTCTTGCTATGGAGTTCAGGGTAGCCTCAAATAGCAATCTTCCTGCCTCAGCCTCTCGAGTGTAAGGATTACTGGTATGAACCACTATGCCCTTTGGAGGCCAGTTTTAAATTCCCTTTAGAAGCCTTTTGAGATCATGCTCTGAACTGGCACTATTTATAAACATGTTTGCCTTCACCACCAGACAGGATGCTACTGAAAGGATTGGGACTTTGCCTCTAAAGCAACAGGAATTGACATTTTCTGAGAACTTCTGTATGCCCAGCACCATGCTAAAGGCTTGTATTTGTCTTCACAGCTCTGCAAGGTGGGAAGAGAGGGAGCATAAGTAACTTTTATGGTAGCCAGAATACATCCCACATGAGCCTCACTCAGACTAAAAAAAGCATTCTCCCCACTTTCTGTAGGAGCCCTGGGGCCCGCCCTGGGCACTGAACTTTTTTCTATCTAAAATGAAGTCTCTCTCTCTATATATATCAGGCAACTGAAAGATGCATTTCATGTAACAAAATATAAAAATAGAAGCCAAGTGACAGAATGGAAAACATAGTTAAGCAATAGATTTAAGAAATACAGGGTCTGGGTGTCAGCTTACTGATAAAGCACTTGCCTGGCAGGCATTGAGATCCTGGATTTGATCCCCAGCCCCACCAAACAAACAAACCTACAGGGAAACACTAAAGTCACCTAAACTTTTATTTGTTTATTTATTTTATTTAGAGTCAGGGTCTCACTGTGTAGTGCAGGCTGGCCTTCAACTCTTATGTAGCTCAGACTGGCCTGGAAGTCACGGGGATCCTTCTGCCTCAGCCCTCTGGAGTGCTGGGATTATAGGTGAGCTCAACCATTCTGGCTCCTGAGGGCGTCTGAATTTTAACAAGTGCCCAGGTGATTCTGAGGCAGCGAAGGCCAGCATTTGGAACCACTGATCTGTGTCATGGCTATACCATCTAAACAGTGAACTCTTCGGAGGCACTCATTCTTGGCAAGCGAGATATGAGTCTCAGAGAAACAAGCCCTGGTTCCTGCCGCAAGGCACTAGAGCCTGAGGAGACTCAGACACTTAAACATTTGGGCTGCTCAACACTTTCTGCCTTGGCCACAGTCGAGAACTAGGACAGACACAAGAGTATCTCTGTGGGGTCTGACATATAGTTGTGGGGGTCCCCAAATATCTCAGGTTCCAAGTACAATTTTCTGGTCCACTGTCCAGGAAATTTTTGGTTTCTCTTTATGCCAGTTGCAGATATGAAGCATCAGTAGTTCATACTAAGCCAAGAGGGGTACTTATATGCCAAGCCTTACGTCTGGCACTGCCTAGAGTAAGATTTTACAGAGAAGCAGCTCCGCCTTATTCCAGCTGAGAGTTGGGGACAGGGATGACCAGCTGCACCCTTGAAAAACAGTGTAAGAATCAGGAGTCAAAATGGATCCGTGTGGAGCAAAGTGTCCAGGGAACAGCCTGTGTGAAGGAAAGGAAGGCTCTTATATTCACAGGAATGGCGTGGAGGTTACTGAGCCTGTAATGCTCCACTCAGTCTCTGCCCATCCGGCAAATGCCCACTGTGTGCTCGAGGCCGAGCTAGGTGCTGGGGATACTGCTATGAACCGTTTATAGCGTAGTGGGGGAGGTGATCCCAATCAGGTGATCCTAAGTGGTATAAGGGAGAAAGAATGTTCCAGTGTTTTAAACTAGGGGACAAGTGAAGCATCAGTTGAGGCCTGAAGCACTAACCAAACAAGGAGGGGGGCAAAGACCTTGCCCAAAGGGCCAGGGGCAGAGAAAACACAGTGAGGCAAGGCCGAGGGGCTGGTGTAGGCCGAGGCTGGAGAACCTGGGGTGTAGGGCTGGGCAGTGAGAGCATAGAGGTGAGATGCTCGAGCTCCCCAGCACTAGGGGATTGGGGTTGTAATGGAGGAATGGGCTCCAGGCGGGTGTAGGAATCTAGGGGTAGAGGATGGACTCACCTAGGACAGGTGTTTTAGGTAGGGTTTCAAAAATAGGAGTTTGCAGTGTGTATGTGGTGGCAGGACTGAGATAGGGCCTTTTATGCAAGAGGCATAGCACACACAGGCAGTGTCTTGCAGAGGTAATTTTGGAAAGGGCAATGCAGCCTGAGTGGGGAGCAGTACAAAGCTGTGAGGGAGGCCGCTCCCCCAGCAGGGAGTGTTTTTGTGTATCATTCTGCTCTTCCTGACTTGGCCAACATTTTGCACAGTGGCTTCTACCTCTAGCACCTAAGTGCTCCAGGAGTGGCAAGGTCAGAGGAAGGCCTGGGGGGTGCAGGGCAAAGAGGTAGGATGGTGGCAGAATAGCTTTGCTTTTTGCCATTGCTCAGGGAAAGCTGTGACACCCTGAGCTTTACCGTGAGACTTGCTCTGTGCTGTACTTGGATGCCACTCTTGCAGTGAGGTAGGTGCTCTTACTGCATTTCACAGATGAGAAAAGGGAGACCTCGAATCCCAGCACTTAGGGGAACTGTATCCCACGCCTATCAGACAGAGTATAACTCGGCTTTCTGTTCCCCGCAGCGTGGCCATCATGGACAAGATCCTCGAGGCCGTGGTGACTTCCTCCTATCCTGCAAGCGTGAAGCAGGGCTTGGTGAGGCGCGTGCTGGAGGCTGCGCGGCAACCGCTGGAGCGCGAGCAGTGCCTGGCACTGCTGGCTCTGGGCGCGCGCCTGTACGTGGGAGGTGCGGATGAGCTGCCGCGACGCGTGGGCTGCCAGCTGTTGCACGTGGCAGGTCGCCACCACCCTGAGGTCTTCGCGGAGTTCTTTAGCGCGCGCCGCGTGCTACGCCTGTTGCAGGGCGGTGCCGGCCCGCCGGGTGTCCGCGCCCTGGCCTGCGTGCAGCTGGGCCTACAGCTGCTGCCCGAGGGGCCCGCGGCGGACGAGGTGTTCGCGCTGCTCCGGCGGGAGGTGCTGCGCACCGTGTGTGAGCGCCCGGGGCCCGCTGCCTGCGCGCAAGTGGCCCGGCTCCTGGCACGCCACCCGCGCTGTGTGCCCGACGGCCCGCACCGGCTGCTTTTCTGCCAGCAGCTGGTGCGTTGCCTCGGCCGCTTCCGCTGCCCCTCAGAGGGCGAGGAGGGTGCCGTGGAGTTCCTGGAGCAGGCCCAGCAGGTGAGCGGGCTCCTGGCGCAGCTGTGGCGCACACAGCCCGCCGCCATCCTGCCCTGTCTCAAGGAGCTCTTTGCAGTCATCTCTTGCACAGGTGTGTGTACACCCCGGGCAGGCGGGGGGAGGTGTGGGGAAACACCCCAGACAGGTGGTTGTAGATAGGTGAGTCCACATAATGGTGTGACACGTGGGTGCAAGAGTGGCACGCACAGGTGGGGAACTGATCCTTCACAGTATCGGCATACCTGTCCCAAGCACCAGTGTGCTTGGAGCAACACACTGACTGGTGGGCGAGGGAAAGATTAGTTTGGAGAAGGAGCCAGGGATGCCAAGAAACCAATAGGACAGGGGATTGTTAGGGCCTTTGGTTCAGGTAAGCATGATAGAAGTCAGAGGCTTGAGCCTGGTCTTGAGAGATCAGGAGCACCTAGGAGTAGGGATGCTAGGGGAATGAAGGGAATGTGCCTGACAGGAAGAAAACAGACCTTATGTTCACGGATCAGCATCCTGATACAGTTAGACAATGTGTTTTATGCTGTTACTGATTTTTTTTCTTTCTGAAGCAGGGTGTTGGTATGTAGTGCTGGCTGGCCTTGAACCACTGTGTAGGGAGGACTGGTCTTGAGCTCATGGTGATCTCTTGCCTCAGTATTCTGAGTGCTGGGATTACAGGCATGCACCACCACAATAAATTTTGCTAACTAAATGGTGCTGTCTCACCTCTAGGCCCCTGTCTGTGTGTTTCTGCCTTGCATAGCCCCTTCCTCCCAGGTCTTACCTTTCTGGCTAGTTCCATGTTACTGTTTCTAAAGAACTTGCCATACACCCAGAGTTGAAAATTAGTACTTGTCTTAGTTACTTTTCTGTCATTGCTGAGACAAAATACCCATCACCCAAAGTTAAAGGAGGAAAGATTTATTTAGCTCACTGAAACCTGTAGAGGTTTCAGTCCATAATCAGCTGGCTCCAAGACAGGGTGGCACACGAGCAACAGTTCATGGTGGCAGAAGACAGCAAAAGCAACAACCAGAGCAAGAGCCAGAGAGAAACAAACCTCTTTCTGTCCCTTCTGTGGTATGCAGGTTGCCTGCCCTAGGGCAGGTATAGCCCTCACATCCATAATCCCAGCATCATATCATGAATCAATCACAAACTCTAGGTTTAGCCTTTGAAAAGCCTACCCCACCATGCCCACATAAGGCTTTGAGGGGACATTCAGACACAAACCACAATGGTGCTTTGTCTTGGTTTCCAGTACAGGATTGGGCTCAAAGCAGTGCCAAGGAAGGTTTATTAAGTAAGTGAGTCCATATAGAGTCAGGTGATGCTATAGGCCAGTGATGGCAAACATGTTAGACATTAAGTGCCCAACCTGCAACCCCAAATCCACTTATTTATGGCAAAGTTTCAACACTGCAATTAAACTTGAACACTGAGGTTTTAGAAAAAAGCGATGTTATCTGATGCTTGACTGCTGGATTGGCTCATGTGTGGACAGAGAAGCTCTGTGTGTCTGCTGTAGCCTGTGTGCCATAGGTTTGCCACCACTGCTACAGGGGAAGCAGAAGTGGCCCCCACGTGCTGTTTTTAGTAGCCTAGCTGAGCTCCTGACAGCTCAAGGGGATGGCATGGTGTGAGGTGGGGCTGCCTGTCCTGCTGAGCTCAGTTTACTGCACTGTTCCAGAGGAGGAGCCCCCGTCTAGTGCCTTGGCCAGCGTGGTCCAGCACCTCCCACTGGAGCTCATGGATGGCGTGGTCCGCAATCTCAGTAATGACGACAGTGTGACGGACTCCCAGATGCTGACTGCCATCAGCAGGTGGGGGGCACTGAGGGCTGGGGGTTGCGGGGTCAGAGCCTTTCCCACTGGGTGGGGTTGCTGGGTGAGATTTAGAGTCAGAGGTCTGACCCTCACGCTTGTTTTGTCATTCACCTGTTCTTGAGCCCTGCTCTGTGCTTGGCCCCCAGAGCCACATATGGGGGACACAGAGCCCCGCCCTAGTACCAGCTGTGTGACTCTGAAAGTACAAGTGAATTCTCAGATTGAGTTTCCCTCTTAGTAACAGTTGAGGTGGGTGGTGGTGTTTCCAGTCTTGCAAGGGGTCCTACAAGAAGGGGAAAGTACTTTATGATGTGCTTTCTGAGATAGACAAATAGCATACATAGAGTTAAGGTGCCCTTCAGCTCAGAGCTTTTGTACATCTTTCCTCCTCTTGAGTGTCTTCAAACTTGTTTTGAGTCTAAGCTGCTTGTCTGATGCAGAATGGGCTTCCCACCCTGCTCCCTGTGGGCCTGTGCTGTGCAGGACCCATCTACCTGCCATGGCCCTCTGCCATTTCTTCCATGCACATGTGCAGATCCAGCAGCTGTGCACAGCTTTCCTGGATTCCTTGTCTTTAGTGGCTAAGAGTGGGGACAGTGGAAGATCAAGTCCTGCCTCTAGCACTTCTTGTCTGTGTGTCTTTGCACAACTTAACCTTTCCATTTCCGTTTCCTCAGTTATAAAATAATGTATAGTTGAGCCTATCCTATAGGGGCATCGTGAGGATTAGATACAAGACACACCATGTCAAGTGCCTGGAGCAGTGGTGTGGCAGCTACTTTTATCATAGCTGTCATAGCTCTCTCACTGTTATTATTATTTTTTTTTCTGGTACTGGGATTGAACTCAATACTTCACACTTGCAGGCAAGTGCTGTGCCACTGAGCTATATCCACAGCCCCTTGTTCTCCTTCTTAATAGCACAGCCTGAGTGTAATAACAGGGGTTATTATTCATGCCTGACCCAACACCCAGGGCTTGTGTTGTGGGGTCCGGATGTGCTAGAGTGGTACCTGGTGCAGGTGACTCCTCCAGGCATTGGCTTACTCTTTTCTCTTTTCCTCAGAGTGACAGCCTCAGGAATAAGATCCTGTCCTTGTTACAGGGAAAGAAACTGAGGCTCAGAGAGGGAAAGTGGTTTTGTCTGGATCCCATAGCCAGGGCTCACTGGAACCAGAGCTTGCAGCCCTGGGGTAGTGGTCTGGGGGAGGAAGCTGGGAGTCCCTTTCTGTACTGCAGCCCCGAGTGGAGGCCCGAGAGCCTCAGGGCTGTGCCGGGCTCATCTACATTTTGGAGCAGGATCGTGTGTATCCCACAGACCCCAGGGCTGCCTGGGCAGATGTGAGTCAGTGTGGGAACTGAGGACACAGTGGCAGTGCTGTCCTCACCTGGGCACTTGGGCTTCCCGGTCCCTTTTGTCACTGTCACTCCCTTCCCAGGATGATCGACTGGGTGTCCTGGCCTCTGGGGAAGAACATTGACAAGTGGATCATTGCACTGCTGAAGGGCCTGGCTGCTGTTAAGAAGTTCAGCATCTTGATCGAGGTTTCACTGGCCAAAATTGAGAAGGTTGGTGGGCCCCGTCCTGACCCAGGCCAGTGGCCTTTCCACCAGCCTCTTGTCAGGCCCTGCAGATGTGGGAGTCAGTGCAGGGCTCCCACTCAAGTTCACTGTGTGACCTGGCTAATTCACTGCCTCTCTCTGGGCCTCAGGCTTCACCATTCCTTTGACCACTTATTTCCATTAATCTTTGTCCCCATTGGTCTGTTCATCCTTCCCAGGCATCTGACTCTGTTGCCACCCATTTTGCCATCTGTCTGTGAGCCTCTCTGTGTCCTGGCTCCTGCATGGGTCTGCTACTTCAACCCTCTTCTGTCTCGGACCCCACCCAGGCTTGGGGTTGCACTCAGCCTCAGGTAGCCCAGGTCTGGGGGCCCCTGACCAGGAAATCTCTTCCAGGTCTTCTCCAAGCTGCTGTACCCTATCGTCCGGGGAGCTGCCTTGTCTGTCCTCAAGTACATGCTGCTGACTTTCCAGCATTCCCACGAGGCTTTCCACTTGGTAAGAGCGCTGCCAGCTTCCTCAGGGTTGGGGACCACACCTCCAGGGCCCGAGGGGCAGTGTGTTTTCTTTCTTGGAGGCTGAGAGGTTGGGACTTGAAGCTTAGGACCTCAAAGCCTGGATATAAGTACTGGAGGAGGCCTGAGACCCTGCCACCCAGATAGAACACTGGGGCCAGGGAATTTGCATAGACTTCCCATGCTTGTCCAGACATAGCCTGTGAGTGGACTAAGGAGATTCAAGCCAAGTTTGTCCGGCTCCCAGTCCACTGTCCTTCCTGTAGCCTGTCGCCCATAGCACCTGGGTGGTCTGGCCCCCCAGACCCTTGCCACCAGCACATGGGGCCCTAGGTTCTGATGGCACTGTGTCAGGGGAGCAGAACATCGCATTTCCTAGTTTGTTGCAGTGGGAAAGGCGCAGAAGCTGAGATTAGGGTGTTTGGGGTTGAATTTAGCACTGCTGTTTGTCTGATGAGGTGACCTTGGCCTGAGCACTGAGACTTCAGAGCGCCTGGCACAGTGTTAGTCCTGGGACAGTGGGAGATCAGGCCGGGTGGTGTTTGCCCAGGGCCTGCCACACACTGACTACACTCATTCTCCTGGGCTTCTTGTTTCTGTGGCCTGTCTGTTGTGACATCATTGATATGCACCCCAACAGGTCTGCAAATTGAAACTCCATAGAAGGGACTCAGACCTGTTTTCAGACACCAGCTTCTATACACACAGTGCAATCTGGGAAAGTTATATAATCTCTCGAGCTGGGGCATGTGGCCCATGGAAGAGTGTGCCTAGCCTTCTGAAGAATGGGGGTAATTGAACCCTGAATCAGCTCATTATCAAGATGAAGTGCTTGAACATAAATGCTGGCCAGGGCCCACACAGCTGGCTGTGTCATGACCACAGCATTATTCCTGCTTGGCATGATAGCCTTGGGTATTGGGTTGATCGGTGGGCTGAGGCTAAATAGCTGGGCTTGGACCCAGGCCTTTCCTGAATTCTAAGGGAGGTATTATTTATCTTGTTCTGCAAAAGAGGAAATTGAGGCAGGGAGTCTTGGGTTGTATGTCTTAGACAGGGAGTTACCTGCCTGCAGCTCCACCCTGTGAAGGTCAGGCCTGGGTGGGTGGAGCTTGGCCTAAACCCCCTCTGCTCTCACAGCTCCTCCCTCACATCCCCCCCATGGTGACCTCTCTGGTCAAGGAAGACTCGAACTCAGGGACCAGCTGCCTGGAGCAGCTGGCGGAGCTGGTCCACTGCATGGTGTTCCGGTTCCCAGGCTTCCCAGACCTGTATGAGCCTGTCATGGAGGCCATCAAGGTGAGTGACAGTTTCCTACTTGTCCCCGACTGTGCTCTGGCAAAGGTACCAGCTTGAGCCTTCCTCGCCCCATCCCGTGGCTTGGAGACTGCCTCCTGTTAATTGCTTTCTGCCACCTCTCCAGGGCCGCGGTGGGCTCCCATTTTCCTAGGTGGTTTGTCCTCTCATGACTGCTGAGCCCTATGTCTGCTGTTCCTGCTACTGTAAACCCCTCCTGTTCTGCTCCACCTAACCTTCGTGTTGCCTCCCCCAGGAAGTCTTCCCCAACAACTCGCAATATCCACTTCACCCCCAGGCCGGGTCAGAGCCCCTCTGGGCTTCCATGGCCCTGGCGCATCTTCCCATCACACATTGTCACCGCGTGTCCCCCATTAGACTGTCAGCACTGCAGGGCAGGGGTTATTGACATTTGTTCATGTGACTGTGCTGATGCCCTACTGTGTGCCGAGCTGGGGACACAAGCATGAAGCAAAGTGAGCCTGAAAGGGACTTGCAAGAGTCTGATCTACACAGCTAGTGATGCCTCCAGGGCTCGGCTGAGAGCAGTGAGAATCTGAGGAAACAAACAGCTTCTGCAGTTGGAGAGAGGCCACAAGGAGGAACGGGGGAGAGACGGCTTGCCGGGTCACTGGGGTCTGACCGCAGCTGACACTTAATAGGTAGCGCTGCATCTGATAGTGTTTTCCCATGTTTTGTCTTCTGATGCTTGCAAGTAACCTGTGAAGCAGATAGGATTATTTCAGCTTCATAGATGAGGAAAAAGAGGGCCTAGAGAATTGTGGCGATCTGTCTTGAAGCTAGTGAGGTACCTAGCCAGGGCCCAGGTTGCTGAGGCTCGCCCACGGCAGGCACAGGGAGGGGGAAGCGATGAAGTCGGTGCTTCTTTCGGAAACTGATTAGACTTTCATTACCAAAGCACAGCTAACTTAGCCACTGTAGGAAGTGTCCCACTGCAGAACATCTAGAAATGCTTATTGAAATATAACGAACATCTTTTTAAGTACGTAGCTGAGCTTGCAAGAAAGTAAGGGGGACTCCCCAGGGACCAACCAAAAAGGAAGAGAAAAGTGATTTCCAGAATGGTAAGTGAGAAATGATGCTCTTTTGCCTGGGGTGGGAGGGTAGGTGAGGTGACCAATCTCAGTCACCAAGGGGCTTTGAGTCGGTGGCGACAGTAGATGAGGCTTAGGACCTGTGCCTCGTAGGGAGTTCACACTATGGAGCCTGCTGCAATCCAAGAAAGGCTTTACTATTAGTAAAAGAAGGATCTGAAAAAAACATTCCTGTGGTCCAAACTAGAGATCAAAGCAATCTTTTAGCTTAGTCTGAGTTTTAGATTGAGAGGAGTAAAGAAAAAAAATGTGGAACTAGTGCCCTGTTCTCATGTAGTTTTAAGAGTTCAGATTCAGATTATTTGGGAGCTATAGGACCCCCTTCCTAAGTGTAGATGTTGGCATTCAAAGTGTTCATAAACTTGAAATACCCAACAGTTGCCTAGTAGACAGAAATAAATTGAGTCATAAAGTTCTACTGAAGATGAGTTTGTAATCCCAAAATTACAAAATACAAAGTAACTGTGACTGAGTCAATGGAACAGACTAAATCTGGGTAATTTCTTGGCTCTCCTGTGTTTCAGACATAACTGGAAAGTGTTTTCATAGTCGGGGCTCACTTCAGTGGGAGGGGCTGTCTTGACAATGCTCAAGCTCCCTGTGGTAGTCAGCAGGACTGGGACTGCACTTTAGGGGACACACTGGGCTTTGGAGCTGTACTAATTTCTTGCTAGACTGTGAGCTTCTGGTAGGCAGGGGCTGTGTTTTGATAGCTTTGTTTTCTGTACCTAGTGACCAGGAGCAGGATATCAATACAGCATGGCTGTAATATGAGGTCCTCTTGATGTTGGGGTGAACAAGGAAGGGGAGGCAGGTCGGTCCCTGTGGGAGCCCTGAGATGAGTGAGGGTCAGGCTTTGCATGCTGGGGTTGGTGGTCTGGTCTGCAGCCAAGGCGGGCTCTGCAGGCACCTGCTGAAGTCGTCGACTGCAGGGACCTGGGATGGATGGTTCAGGGACACACTGGGAAGCTCCTTGAAAGCCTTGTACAGAGAGGGTCAGCATCAGACCTTGGCTGACCAGGCAGGAAGGTGAGGCCAAGGTGTAGGAATGTGTGTGTCCAGTTTGGTGGTCAGATGTGTCCAGAAATTTGAGAGTCAGTCTTAATCTCTGCTTGATCCAGTGGTTCTGGAGGACCTGGTATCAGATGAGGGAGATGTACTCAGAGCATTTTGGCCTGAACTCAGTTTGTCTAAAACTTAAGTACCAAGTGTATATTTTACAATTACAAACATTTGTTCTAATATGAGCATGCTTTTCTTCCTGGAATATTAGTGCCAGGAAAATGGGTTAAATTTGTCCTGTGGCCTTGAATACCCCTTGGGACAAGGCAATTTGAGAGACAAGGCCTCCCAAAACAGTGATATTGTTCCCGTAGGATCCTTTCACATGCACCATCCTTCTTCATAGCTGCATCACTTTGTGAGTCGGTCTGGGAAGTTCTCTGGGATGTGTTAATGGCAGTCTGTCAGGGAGCTGTGGCTGTGGCCCTCACCGAGGGAGTCATGGTATATAAATTTCCAGTAATATTAGGAGTATGAGAGTTACACAGAAGATCTGGTTTTATTTTCTAAGTGTACAAAATTCCTTTTCTGGGAACGAGATGATTTGATGTTGTCTCTGGCATGTTTGCATCATCTTTGTGTAGGTAACTGTGTGTGGTTCTATCTGCCTTGCATCTCTGTTCATGCTGTGGATGTGTGGGGTGATTAGATGGGGGATGGTAGGAAAATAAAGAATACTGAGCCTGTATTTACATTTCTCCTTCATATCAGTGCGTTTTAATTATCTGAAGAGGTGACTAATCCAGTAACATATCCCAGAAGTAATCCTGCGAACACATCTGTGACCCAAGTGTTAAGCCATGGCTTGAGCAAGATCTCTAATAGCCAGAGGACAAGTGCTGGGGACAGGGTTTGGGTGCTGAGTTAGTGTGAAGCCCTGTAGGCCCTGGGCACTGGCAGTACAGGACGTGCTGAGATGTATTAAGTAACACTTCCCGGAGCTGAGGTGGTTTTCTTTACAATATGTCATTATTAGAAGGAGTGCTTGGTTAGCTTTAAGGCATAGCTGTTTAATGTGACAAAGGATAATGAATGGGAAACTATGTTAACCCCCAAGCCTGTGACAAAGGGACCTTCCATCACAACTGTGGACTCTTGGGCAAGTGGCGGGGAGGGGATAGGAGAGGGTGGGGGGTTGGAGTGTGACTGTGGCTGATTCTGTAGGAAGCTGATTGTGTAAGTCTAGAAGATGGAGTGGGATGCCACTGCATGCAAGCACCATGAAGGCAGAGGATGACAGACTAGTGTAAGGGGGCCTTTCTTGTCAGACGGAGAAGCTGAGTCCCAGGAAGCTCAGGTGGGTGAGGCACAGAGGCTCACTAACCACAGCTGGACACAGGTGAAGGTGAGTTAGAGCTGGACTTGGCCAGTATTGAGAGTCTGTCATCCCCCAGGCTATGCTAGGAATATGTGCTTACTTACTGCCTGTGACACCCTGGGCAATTATTTTCTGTCTGAATCCAGTTGTTTCATCTCTAAAATGGGGATTGTGTCCCCTAGGCAGTTGTTACCTCAAAGATCATGTAGAAGTGCACATATCAAACTGAGACCCTGGCCTGAGCTGTAAGCAGGGACCATCCCCACGCCTCTCTGGAATACTTCTGAGTGGTGTGTGCTTGGGAGGCTGTTCAGTGAGCTGTAGTCCAGGAAGGCTTCTCAGAGGAGGTGATAGTTTTCAAGCTGACCCTGGTGCCCATTGTCTTCCTGCTGCTTTCTTCCTCAGGACCTCCACGTTCCCAATGAGGACCGCATCAAGCAGCTGCTGGGGCAGGATGCCTGGACCTCACAGAAGAGCGAGCTGGCCGGCTTCTATCCTCGGCTCATGGCCAAGTCAGACACGGGCAAGATTGGTTTAATCAATTTGGGCAACACCTGCTACGTGAACAGCATCCTGCAGGCTTTGTTCATGGCTTCCGAGTAGGTGCTGCTGGTGAATTCCCGGTCTGCCCTTTGCTGCTGTGCTCCCTGGTGGAAGGAAGGTGGGGAGGCTGGGCCTCGCCATGCCTTGTTGGGTGGTCACTGTTACTGTGTTGGTAGGCAGTGGAGCCTGGTTTGAAGTCCCGTAGGGCTCAGGGATGGGCTGCAGGGGCTGCCAGGTGCCACTGACTTTCCCTGAGGCGGCCAGGGGCGTGTTTTCATCCAACGTCTCTCCTGTTCTTAATGAAACAAACACGGTTTTTACCACTGGCCACCTGTGTCCTGTGTATGGCTTGCGTAAAAATCACGTGACATTTCAGCTTTGGCTCAGTGAAAGGAAGCTTGGGTTCTGGCTTAGAATATGACCTCGAGACTGTGTTCTCTCTGAGCTTCAGTGTCCTAGGAAGCAGGGCTGATCCCTTAAGGTTTCTTAAGGTGCTACTGCTTGTTCTCTAGCTGCCTGATGGACGACTTTGGTTTCCGGATTTCTGATATGTGCAGATTATTACTTTTGTACAGAATAGAAAATGGCTTGCCAGAGGAACGATTCTGTGCTTATAGTGTCTGAGTGTGAGTGCTGAGATGCTCGCTTACTTTGTGAATGTGCCTTCCTGAGAGTAGGGACCATATTGGGAGTCGTACTGTTCTGGGTAGTGGCTCTGTGGAGAAATATGTGACTGTCTGTGAGGAGAGCACTAAGCTGGGACCTGGAAGTTGGCATGTGGGAGGGACAGTGGGTGTTGGAGTGGGGGCTCCTCTTGTCTCCATAGGATTGGACCCCTGTTACTGGCAGCTGGCATTTTCGTTTGGTGCATTCCTTGCTTTGGCCCTGGCTCCTTCCTTTGAAGGCAGGGGACTAACTTGGGTGGCTCAGGGCAGAGGCCCTGAGTGGAGCTGTAGGAGTTGGATGGGGAGGCTGAGGCCAGGCAGGCTGTGTGTGGCTGGAAGATGCTGGCATGGATTCTATGCCAGAGTCCCAGCCTTAGCATGTTCGCGTGTTTGAACCCTGGAGTCACAGGGTGTCAAGAGTTGGAAGACACTACAGGGGTCACCTTGTTGTACCCTTTATTGTCATATTAAGGCCATTGATGAGTTCTAGACTTCAGACCCTCCAGATTGGGCTGTTCACCGTCTCGTCCTTCCCAGTCTCTGGCCTCAGCTAGAGCTAGAGAAGTCCGGAGGCTTTGGGCTGCCTGCAGGATGGGTGAGTAGAGGCTGCTAGGTGCCTTGGCTCACCCTGGGCGCTCCTGCTTTGTTTTGAAGCTTTCGACACTGTGTGCTCCGTCTGACTGAGAACAACTCGCAGCCCTTGATGACTAAGCTGCAGTGGCTCTTTGCCTTCCTGGAGCACAGCCAGGTGCGTGTGGGGCGGGGCAAGGGGGCAGGTGGCGAGGAGGTGCTGGTCACTCGCAGGACCATGATGCTCAGGGTTGCAGCAAGGTGTTGCCTCATCATCTGCCACTGATGAATGGCACCCACACTGCCAGGCACCCTAAGGGATATAGAGGGTACGAAGGTGAACAAAACAAATATCTGTCTGTCCTTGTAGAACTTAACACTCAGTCTGGGATTCTGCAGGGCCCTGTGTGGGGGCAGAGAGAGTAAGCCCCTCTGTCTCGCAGGAAGACGACTTATGGATGGCAGTTGTCATCCCTTCTCCTGGGGAACATGGCACATGTGAGCCTACAGGGAAGGAAAGGATATGGTGGGGGCTGAGTTGAGAAGGTATCACAGAAGAGGCCATACTTGTTTGGACAGGGCTGTTTAGGGAGGGAGTTAGGCAGTGAGCAGAGGCAGGGAGAGAAATGTGAAGCCTGTAAGCAAAGAGCAGAGTCCTAGGGATTATTCACCTCTAGGACACCAGTGCCCTGCTGAGGGAGTGCCTGGCTAGTGGGATGGGTTGTGTTGGGGACAGCAAGGAGAAGCTGGGTGAGGAGGCGGGGCTGTTTGGGACACAGTGCTAGGCTGACCCTCAGGCCCAGCACTCTGTAGAGCTGCTCTGGCTGTCCTGCTGCTCCTGAGCCTGTGTTTCACCTTCCTTGTTATAGAGGCCCGCCATCTCACCTGAGAACTTCCTCTCTGCGTCCTGGACACCCTGGTTCAGCCCTGGAACCCAGCAGGACTGTTCAGAGTATCTGAAGTACCTGCTGGATCGGTGAGCGAGACCAGGCCTCTGGCATGGGGCAGTGGGCAGAGAGCTCTAGGGCTAGGAAAGGGTTCTGGGGAGAGGCCAGCTCCGAGCTGGGTCGTGGCTTCGTGCTGAGGGGAACAGGAGCACTTGCACTCATAGAAGGTGTGGGTCACACACGTGAGGGCCGTGCCCCACAGGCTCCATGTGCACGCTGTGCTGTGCTTACCTGGTGCGCCAGGCTTCCCCCCTGCCCTGGGCCCAGCTCCCTGGAGTCAGGCATGGTTGGGTAGTGTTGGGTACCCGCGTGCAGGTGTCAGTGCTTTGTGTGTGTGTGTGTGCACACATGCGTGTGAGCATGTCATGTCACTTGAGTGGATGTGTCCTGGCAGGTTTGTGAGTCTGTTTAAATGTGTGGCCAGCTGGATAGGGTAGTCGAGCATGGGGGAAGCGTGTGTGCCGGAAGCAGACCTGTGTGTGTGAACACCCTGTGCTCCCTGCTCACTCCAGGCTGCACGAAGAGGAGAAGACAGGCACAAGGATCTGCCAAAAGCTCAAGCAGTCCAGCCTGCCCTCTCCCCCTGAGGAGCCCCCCAGTCCGAGCCCAACCTCTGTGGAGAAGATGTTCGGGGGCAAGATTGTGACCCGGATATGCTGCCTCCACTGCCTCAACGTCTCCTCCCGTGAGGAGGCCTTCACAGACCTCTCTCTTGCCTTTCCTCCTCCCGAGCGCTGTCGCCGCCGCCGCCTGGGCTCTGTGATGTTCCCTGCAGAGGAGGTTGGAGCCCGGGAGCCCCCGTCTGTCCCCCAAGCCCCAGCTGCCAGCAGGGTGGGTCCTCGGAGACAAAGGAAACACTGCATCACTGGGGACACCCCGCCAACCTTGCTGGACATCGAGGGCCAGGCCCCTCCTGGAGCTGGGGAGCAGGGTAGGCCAGAGGAGGAAAGGAAGGAGGAGCCGGTGGAGAGGGAGGAGGAAGGCAAGGAGGTGACCGTGACAGAGGAGGAAGAACAGGGAAAGGCGGAGGAGGAGGAAGGGGCAAAGGAAAAGGAAGAGGAGGGAGAGAAGGAAAAAGAGCAAGAGGAGGCAGAGGAGAAAAAGGAAAAAAAAGAAAAGGAAAAAGAGGAAGAGGCAGCTGAGAAGGAGGCAGAGCAGGAAGGGGACAGCTTGGGACGAGGGATGCACAAAGATGCTGCTCCCCCCTCCAGGGAGCAGCTGTGTGGCCCTGAAGGCTCCCGCTCTGTCCTGGACCTGGTCAACTACTTCCTGTCCCCCGAGAGACTGACCGCAGAGAACCGCTACTACTGCGAGTCATGCGCCTCCCTGCAGGACGCGGAGAGGGTGGTGGAGCTGAGCCAGGGCCCGCGCTACCTCATCCTCACGCTGCTGCGCTTCTCCTTCGACCTGCGCACCATGCGGCGCCGCAAGATCCTGGACGATGTCACCATCCCCCTGCTGCTCCGCCTGCCGCTGGCCGGGGGCCGGGGCCAGGCCTACGACCTCTGCAGTGTTGTGGTACACTCTGGCGTGTCCTCCGAGAGCGGCCACTACTACTGCTATGCCCGCGAGGGCGCTGCCCGCCCAGCCCCTTCCCTGGGAACTGCAGACAGGCCAGAGCCTGAAAACCAGTGGTACCTGTTCAATGACACTCGGGTGTCCTTCTCCTCCTTTGAGTCTGTGAGCAATGTCACCTCTTTCTTCCCCAAAGATACAGCCTACGTGCTCTTTTACCGCCAGCGGCCTGCGGAGGGTTCCAAGACCGAGCCGGGCTCTCCCCGAGCCCGCACAGAGCCCACCCTCCACAAGGACCTGATGGAAGCCATTTCCAAGGACAACATCCTCTACCTGCAGGTGAGCTGACCCTTGGGGTCTGTCATGACCCCTTAGGTGGAGCAGTCCAACCCCAGCACAGCTATAAGCTTAGGCCAGTTTTTCCTGCCTCTTCCTTTCTAAAATTGCCATTCATTGTGCGGTGAGGGAACCATATTGGTGACCTAGACAGATGAGTCCTTGCTACAGAGGAACAGCCCTTAGTTAATTACGCAGCTGTTACCTACAGTGCTGCAGGGTCAGCCTGGGCTCCACGGGGTTAGTAGTAGAGGCAGTGGGTAGGGCATGCTTTTAGGGGCTCCCAGAAGGGCCACATACCCCAGTGATCGTCTCATGTCTCTCTGTTCCTCTTCAGAGTTAAGAGTGTTACCAAAATCTTCAGCCACTGGGACAGCAGGGGGGATGAGTAGGGCCATCTACCCAGGGCCACTATGGACTGGGGTGGTTTTTGAGGGGGGTCGGATAGGGGTGGCATGCCTGTCTGTATTGTCAGGCTGCCAGGCAGAGGCAGGCTGTGGTCAGAAGTATCCAGGAGGCTGGCCTTGGGCAGAGGTACATCGTTTTATGTTGAAGAGGCAGTGAGCTGGACAGCTGGGGCCAGGAGCCTGTGGAGAGGTTCTCATATAGTGTGATGGCACTTTCGAGGTGTCTGTACCTCCTGTTTCCATTATCAGGCCCTTGTCAGTTAGTCACAATCCAGTACAAATGAATTCCTTTCTTCCAAGGGACTGGCATTTTTATGGAGAGGAGGGAGGGCAGTTTAAAGTCCAGTTTGGGGGCAGATGGAGCTAGAGTGCCCTGAGGACAAGCTGCGCTTCCTACGGCCTGGACCTGGGGACCCAGAGTGGCCTCTCAGGATAGTGCTGGGTGACCCTGAGGAAGGCAGGAAGGGAGGGTCTCTGAACCCGAAGCTGCTCCCATGCCCGCTTCTGTGTTCCCAGGAGCAGGAGAAAGAGGCGCGGAGCAGGGCGGCCTATATCTCTGCACTCCCCGCATCCCCACACTGGGGCAGGGGCTTCGATGAAGACAAAGATGAGGATGAAGGCTCGCCGGGGGGCTGCAACCCTGCAGGTGGCAATGGTGGTGACTTCCACAGACTGGTCTTCTAATGTGAGCCCTCCCTAGTCTGCTCCCATCCATGGGCCACCACAGCCCCCTCACAGGACTTGGCCCCTTTCTCCTGGGCACCAGGTGGTGGGGGCTCAGGTCCTAGGCAGAGCTGCTGTGCTGGTGGGGTCGGGAGCTGTGGAGGTCTGGTCCAGGGCTCAAGAGGCCCAAGGATGAGTAAGCAGTTTCTGGGTCAGTCTGAAGCGTACGCAGACACTCAGATATGGAGGCAAGATCCAGGCCCAGTACTGAGATCAGGGCTGATAAGATGTACACCCAAGTGTCCTGACTGATTTGGAGCATCCAGCCCTTGGGCAGCCCTTCCCTCCTGCAGCTCTGGCTTGATAGTGTAGAAAGCACAGAGGGACCCACAGGATGTCAGGGCCTGAGAGGAGAAGGGGGCTCCACATCATTTTTACTGGGCCGTCTTCATATTTCTTCAAGAGGATTTGGGTCAGGTATGTGGGTGCTTTCTGGGGGTGCCTGTATCGACTACTTTTCCAAGGTGTGCAGGTGAGAAGCAGTGTGGCACAGAATCAGAGGAAAAATCTTACCTGCCTTGCCTTCCCCAAGCAACATGAGGGTAGGCAGGCCCCTCCCCTATCCCTCCAGCCTGCCTCAGTGCCTGAAATGTCACTATTTGCATCCCCCTTCTGGTAAAGGTAGAAAAATCTCTATTTTATTGCAAAGATATTTGTTCATCAGGAAGCCATCGTCTGTCTGAGGGAGCTGGCTGGCTCGGCTCCTCTGACCCATTGGCCATTGAGATGATTGAGTGGGAGTGGACTGTGACATACAGATGTTGACCTCACTGTCCTGTGCAACTGCTATAGCCCTTTCTAAATGGAGAGGAAACCTGTGTTCCCCACCAGGAATAAAACTAGTTCTCTGAAGTCTGTGAAAGATGTCATTCTTCTGTCGTGAGCTGTGACGGCTGTTGTACACTTGGTTCTTCCTTGGGTAGCCTGATGGTGGCTGGGGCTCCTGGTTTGGAAGGTGAGGACTTGTGCTTGGTGACTTGTGAGAAGATTGTGGGTGGTGATGAGAGCCCTTTAGCCCTAAAGAGGTGGCGTGTGGGGGACATACACAGGGAAGAATGGGGACTGTGGTGAGGACACAGCAAGGTGAGGTGCTGGATGCAGAGGGCAGGCGCGCAGGCTGGAGGGTGCCGGACTCACCTATCAGGTGGGCGCAGGTCCCAACAGCTGAGACTTCTTAGTTCCCAAGATCTCTGGGCTGCCTGCAAACAGCTGCTGTCCACAGCTGTACAGCTGTACTCTGAGGAGCAGAGCAGGGAGGGGAATACCCTGGGGGCTGGACATGGCACAGGCTGAGGGGAGCTGGGAAGAAGTCTTTATTGCTCTAGAGATGTCACCTTCTTCCCCAGGCACATCCATGCTTAGAGCTGGAGAGGGACACAGGAGTGGCTGTGTGTGCATGGCCAAGGGCCAGCCCTCACCACAGGGTCCCATAAGCCTGGCTATTCCCTTCAGGAAGACAAAGGTCTCAAGGGCTGCCAGTGGAGATCCAAACGTCAGAGACCCTGGTGCCATCGGCCCTTAACTAACGGGCTGCTTCCATGCATACCAGGTGAGAGGGCCAGAGGCCCCTTCTACGGAAGGAGAATTACAGAGGCCAGGTTCTGAGAAACAGCCTTCCTTTTTGCACGTAGCCAAGGCAAGTGCCACTTCCTGTGAACGTGGAGCTGACTGGCACATCTGTCCCCCTGGGGTCATTTGACAAAGTGTGCTGGAGTGATTTTTCCTCTTGTGAGAAGGTGTGTTCATGCGCCTGCCCACAGCAGCCATGGGTCCAGAGGCCTGGGGGAGGGGTGCCCGAGCTGAGATCGGAGTATGGATTCCACTCCAGGCCCTGCAGACAAAACCTCACAAGCCTTGTATGGGTTGCATTTCTAAAGGACTTTATTGTCCTATTTCAATACCACAGTAAAAAGGGACCTGCAAGCTCCAGGCCTGTACCATGTGTCACCACAGCAGAAACATGACCCACTTGAACATATTGCCCACCCCAACCCGGACCTACTCACAAGATAAATATGTGTTACAAATTTTTAAAAAAGAAAACAATAAATTAATAACTTAAGTGATTAGGCACTAACAGTGATTTGAAAAAATTAAATGTCAATTTAAATGGCAACAAGACAAGAACTTGAGATAGGGCTGCTGCTAGCCCATTTTCTCTTCCGAACACATAGGGACAGTTCTGTGCAAAATGATCCTAAATTTCATGACACAAGTAGCTGACAAATTACACAAGAGTGCACACCACCAGATACCACAGACAGCATGAATCTGCAGCAAGCCCCCTCTGCCTCCCACAAAGAACTTGGCGAGTCCTAGAAAGAGGGCCCCGTAGGGCCAGTCTCGCTTCCCACCAGTTTACAGCTACAGGCTCACACGGGAAGGATGAGCCAATGTCCTCCGAACCTGTACTCTTTCAGAGCTCTGCTGAAGGGACCAGGGCTACTGCTTGGGGCCGACACTGTAACCCCATGGCAGGGAAGGGGCAAAGGCAGACTCGAACTGAGGCAGTAACTTTAGAATGCTCACACTTCTATGAGGTGGGCTTACATGAATGGTTTGAAATGTAGACATTACCCAAATCAAGCTGAGACTGAGTTAACTGGCTAATACTTGGTGCTGCCGGTCTCTGGTGACCAAGTAGGGAGCTCCCCCTTCACTGTAGAGGAGGTGCAGCTGTGAAAGAGGCTTCAGCGACCACCTAATCTACCCTTTGACAGGCAACCCAAAGTCCAGAAGAGGTACCATCCCCTCCTCCAACTGTTCCCACTCAACTTTTCCTGAGGTGGAGCAGAAGCGCGTGAAACAAGCTGCTCTGGAGACAGTCTCAGGAGTAGCCCTTGTGTGCACTCTGCTAGGTGAGAAGATGTCCCTGTTCTGCGGTCTCAGGCCTTGCCAGGCCAGCAGGACAGATGAACTCGGACCCACGAGCAGCCAGAGGACCTGTTTTGTGAACTGAGCTGACTTCCTTTTCAGGCTTTGAGGAGCAGTGCATGTGAGGGCTGGTGGTGTGGTAGAGGGCTGGTCTGTGAGCCAAAGCTCTGCCTTCGGCCTTCCAGCTTCACCCCACTCTCCACGCTGAGTTTGGCAGGCACAGCAACTAGGAACCAAGAGGTAGAAGGAGGGCACCTGGAGACCACCCACACTGGAACACCTTAGTCTCTGCAAACCCCAGCCACATTTCATTTGTGTAACGCTCGGAGCATGGTAACATTTATGGCACGATGGGGTCAACACATGAGGCACCATTAAAAAACCTAGCCATGTGGGACCCCTCGTAGAAAGCCCTAAAGGGACAGTCAGGGAAGGCAGAGTGAACCAGCATCTTGTAAACCCTAGCCAATGTCACCATAGGCACCATGGCCCCCACAGGTGCTCTGAGAATGCCCCTAGCACTTAAACTGGGACCCCCACGCCACAAAACCCTTTTGTTCCCAAAGCACACAGGCTCTCAGCTCCCACCTGCCTGCACGGCAGGGCTCTCACTGTGCTCCTCTAAGGCACCCCTTTCCCTGGGCCACGCTACCTGGTCATAACCCTGTTGACCTCTGGCACCAGCCTCACTGTGAAGTCTTTATTCCTTCTGTTCCATTCTCCTGTCTCTTATCACACAGCCATCATCATCACTGCCTTGTGTCCTAGTCCTTTTTCCTCACTGATTTTAACCTCGATTTTGGATACAAGCTGTGATTAGCCTCTGGGGCCTTGGTGCTTGGCCTTGACAACTGCTGAAGATCTTTGAGTTGCTCTGAATTAATAGAGCTCCCAGGATGGGGCTCCTGGCGATGGCAGGCCATCGGTCTGCAGAGCTGTGTGCTGGCAGGAGCGGAAGGTGAGTAGTAGCCATCCCCAACAAGCATAGTGGGAAGTCCTATTTTTGGAGGAACGCTTGTTTACCTCTGGGCAAACTGAAATGTTTAGTCTGCCCTGTTGCCTCTGAAATACTTGGAAATTTGGTCAAGAACTTTCAACATTAGAATTTAGATCCCTCTCCCTAGTTTAGGTTATACCCTACCGTCCAGCGCTGCTGCTCCTGTGACTTTTCAAGCCATCTTTTTTTTGTACCAGGGACTGACTCATGACCTTGTGCTTTCCAGGCAGGCACTTATGCCACTGAGCTAAACCCCTGCTTTCAAGCCACCTTTATGGGCAAGTTTGAGTTCAACATGGCAACATGGAGCCACAGAGGGGAGAAGAGCTGAGACCACACCCTGGGCTTGACACCAGGCCCGCTGCATTTCTCTCCAGAGAGCTGGGCAGGAGCTGCCAGCCATCCCCTCATCTCCTAGGTATGGTCCTGCTTTGTACACTGTGCGCTCAGTCCCAGAACTGGCTCTTGTGTCACATGCCATGCACCCAGCTGCTCCATCCTGCACCCTTCCTCCCATCAAGTCATCACATGCACCTACCTTACAGAAACTTACTGCCTGCACCACCCTCACTGCCCCATTCCCAACACACACCTGTCCTTGCTTCCACCCATGTCACATCCCCCACCCCTCACCTGCCAGCTTTCCCACACCACGAAGCACTCAGCTGAGCCCAAGCCTCCACAGGGATGCTCAGGAAGATGACTTTCTGTCCTAGGGCGGCATCATCAGACTGTATCAGAGGAGGCCTGACCACTGTGTCCTTGTCACTCCCAGCCCCGGTCCTTGTCATTCTCGGTTATCATTGTTTCTCCTTCATTTTGTCCTTCTTTTTTGCCTCTCCCATTCCCCAGCAATGGTCTTGCATGTTTGTGGCCTGGAAACGGGACCCCTGAAGGTAGCAACTGCCCTTCTGCACCTGGGAATTTAATTCTTGTCCCTGAAGACCACTGACCTTCATTCTCAACTATTTCAGCTTTTGGCAGCCTTGCCTCTCCCCTGTCAAGAAAAACAGGGATGAAAAAAGTCCATGTCCACTTTGGTCTGCTGGTCTTGGGCTCCCTGGCTCATCCTCCAGGGGACTGAAGGAGAGGTAGCCCAAAGGTGGAGGAAAGATGGCAGGGGCTGGCTTGGAGTCCCAGCGCTCCCTCCCCCGCCCAACTTTCAAGCATCTGGTAGACAGGTCTTCAGGACAGGAGGAAGATTTTGGCAACAGCTCCTAACTAAGGTGGGTGGAGGCAGAGCCAGGACTGATAAGTCATATGGGCCCAAGTGGGCAGAGGAAGTGCCCCCATCAGGCCCTCAACACGCCTCAACAAGGGAGGGTCCCTGATGTCAAATGCTTTGAAGGCCAAGAGCAGCACAGTGGAGTGGGAGGGGTGAGAGGAGACAGGGAGAAGCCAGTTCAGAGATGCTGCCTCCTCTCTGGGCTCAGTGGCCCCCATGTCACAGCTTGGCACCCTTGGAAGGCTCTGAGGACTGCCGCACATCTGTCCACTCCTGCATGGTATTCTGCAGGGCCTGGGTCTTCTCCTTATCCACCTGGACATAGTCCACCTTTTCATCCGAAGTGACAGATGATGTGGATGGCTGAGGGGACAAAGCAGGAAAGGCTGTGAGTTACCTGAAAGGTGGGGAGGGAGGAGGGGCATCTTTTCAAGATGTGTTGAGGGGAGGTGAATGGAGTTGGCCTCTGCTGCACTTGGATGAGCCCTTGTTGTCTTTGTGAATGTGAGCTTTAAAGCTGTTAGTGCAAATCAATCTCCTTCCTGTTGGACACCAGCCCTGCCAGCCCTTGCCTCCAGCAAGTCATGGGCAGACCAGACCTTCATCTCCACTTCCATACGCCTCTCTCTGGCCATTCTGCCAGTGTTGGGTGGCATCATGCACCAGCCCCAGGGCTTTAGGTGTCTTCCTGTGAGCTCTCACAGCACTTGGAGGAGAAGTACCCTGAGGTGGGCCCCAGCCTGCTGTCTAGACACTTTGCTGGCTCAAAGTGCATCCTGTGAGGCAATCCTACACCTAGAAGTCCTTCCTCAGCCAGTGTATCATCACTGGCCCTTCCTGACAATGAGTTCTCAAAGAAAAACTCTTGCAGGAGGCAGGATCTGAATCTTGGACCTGACACTGATTCACTTTAACCTTTGCAGAATGCTCATGGCCAGGGGATGGGCTGTGAAAGCCTGTGGACTAAGGCCCATGCTCTGAGAGAGAAGAGAGAAGGCACAGTGGAGTCATACAAGCTGGCTCTGGAAAGCAGGTTGAGAGGTGCTGCCCAGTTGTGGAAGGCACCCTGACCTCCACCTTTCCCACTGACCCCCCACCTCCACCCCAGGCACCTTTCGGTGGGGGCTGGGGGAGCCCGGCTGGAAGTCCAGGGCCAGGTAATCAACGCTGCCGGTGCTCTTCTTTGGGGCTGGACTGTTGGTGCCACTGGGAACAGGAGATGCAGACACTGGGTTTTGCTATCAGGAGGAAAAAATGAGTTTAGGAATGAGCAAACTAACCACCTAAACACATCTCTGGGAGTAAGAGCTACTGGGTGTCTGTGTCGTGCCCTGTGCCATGTGTTATGCCAAGGACTTTGTACACTTAAATCCTTACAACCATCCTGTGAGGTTGGTATTATTACTCTTAAGGTTATTTAAAACAGAGCTAACCCACAGCTGGGAAGGTGGAAAGCAGGGCTCCCAAACCTGTACTAATCTCATGGACCATGCTGCTTCCCTTTGGACTTATGCCAAATCTTATAGCTGCTCTCCTGAGAGTCTTCACTGTCACTCACCAGCCTCTAAGGCAGTAGCCTGTCACATTCTGTGGGCTCCTGCGAAACACCCATCCCAGCCTAGAACAGCATGCACACTCCCCCTGCTCTGCAGAGCCAGAACAGTTGCTGTGGAAAGCCCCTTCCTTTAGTGCTTCTTTGGATGACAGGCTCAAGGGTCCTGCTCCAGGTGGGCTCCTGCTCTGGGAGAACACCTCCCTGTCCACAGTGTTCCCTAAGCGGATTCAAATCAAGCCTGATAGTCTTGAGTTCCAGTTTTGGCTGTTTCAATGGTTGGTTGATGCATCCTTTTCAGTGTCTTTGCAGACATGACTAGGTGCTGGGCAACTACGACCTTCGCAGTGAAATTTCAGGCAGAAACCTCATCATGCTCTGCCTGTGTTCATATTTCTCTTATGGTCACCACCACAGGGAGTTACATGACTACCTTTTCCAGGGTAACACCATGCCATTTCTGCTGTTTAAGACACACACCTCTGGGCTGGGGATTTAGCTCAGTGGTGTAAGCGCCTGCCTGGCAAGCGTGAGGCTGTGAGCTCAATCGCCGGTACACAAAAAAACCCTAAAAAAGACACAGACCTCGTTGGGGGCAGGGACCGTGGCCTCCCTACAGTGGATAACACTCCTGTTCTGCTGCCCAGGTGCCCATGAAGGTCTGCAGCAGGAGCCTGAATGACACTTGGTACCACAAAGGATCCCAGATGAAGTAAACAGTAGGTCCCAGAAGACGAAGAATCATTCCAGTGAATGCCCAAAGACTCACCATAGGGACGTAATTCTCCTCACTGTCTCCTGAGTCCGTGCTTGTGATACTCTGAGTGGAGATGGGGCGGCAGTATTGGAAGGAGCTGGAGGTGAAGGTGTGGCTGTTGTGAGAAGACATCAGAGTGAACCCTGGGGATTCCTGATCCTCACATGCCCAGACCTGAGCCACCAGAGCTTCACCCTCTATTATCAGATAGAGATCTGATAAAGGGCAGATATAATTATTCCCCTTTTACAGCTGAGGAAACCAAGCCCCATGAGATCAATGGTCATGATCATCTAATGACAACACTAGTGTCAGAATCCTTATTTCCTGACCCCCAGGCAGGGACAATTCCATGTATTTCTAACCCCACCCAAATCCAAGCTCTTGCTTCTGCAGATACTCACTTGGCCCTGGACCAAGACTTAGTGACAGGTGACTTGAAGGGGAGCTCATCGATGACAGCATTGTTTCTCAGATCAAGTGGTGTTGGCTTAGCTAGAGTGGAAAGAGTCCAGCAATCAGCCGTCGTGTGGTCGTGCCACATAGTGAAATACGTACACACAATATGCAAGCATGTTTACAATCGCCTTGATAGTCATTCCAGTTTTAGCAGGAAAACTCAGTAGGGTGTCTGCAGAGGACTGGTGTTAGGACTTACTCAGATTACCAAAACCGAGGGATGCTGAAGTCTCATATACAATGGTAGTATTGGCTTATAACTTACTCCCATTCTTGTACACTTAAAATCATCACTAGGTAACTTATGATACCTGATATGATATAAATAGCTGTTACACTCTATTATATAAGGAATAATGACAAGAAAAATATGTATATCCCCAGTATAGATGTAATGCTTTTTACTTTCAAATATTTTGATCTGCACTGGTTGCATCTGCAGATGTGGAACCTGTAGATACTGCAGGCCAATTATATAAACTTCATCCCTGAAGTCATATCTTCAGATTCCAGTTTACACATCCTTCCTAGTGTATCCATGGTAATTGGACTTACGGAATCCAAAACGGGGTATATGGTCTGACAACAGATTCTGTCCTCTCCAGATTTATGGCTATGCAAAAGCAAGACATTGTGTTTGAAGTGGAGAGAGCCACTGTGACAAGTCCTTGCTGTTTTTGGACAGGGCTGTGCAAACCCCAGTGAAGGAAGGGAAACACCATGAGGCTCCGCAGACTTCAATTCTGTAAGTTTAGGTTTGCATTCCCTATTCTACTACTCTGTCCTTCAAATCTCTCCCTGAGTGGAGGCCAGTAGAAAGCAGTAGTGTAGACCCAGAACTTGGGATTTTAGTACCTCTTCTGGGTCTTCACCCAGGATCACAGATCTAATGACTGCTGCCTGTGTGGGCTAGACCTGCCACTGTCTTCAGTGCTATTCAGAACAAATCCAGGAGGTGGGAATTACCATCCCCATTTCCCAGGTAAGAAACGTAAGGCTCAAAGAAGTCACGTGATTTGCATAAAAGTCACATCCCCCAAGTCCAGTTTCTACCTGATCCCTAAGAAAAAGCAAAAGGTCACTGGGTGTTGTCCTGCAGTGGGGATGGGGAGAGTGGACTTACCTTTCCGGTCAGGCTTGAGGTTGCGGTTGACTGGAGGTGGCTGGATCTCACTTCCTCGGCTGGGGCCTCTGTGCACAGGAAGGGCTGTTGATGCATAGCCAAGTGGGTCAAAGGGATGTGGCCCTGGGCTCATGGGGATGTAGACACCGTGGGAACTGTCACCTGCCCGCTCCATGGCCAGCAGGGTTGAAGAACCTGGGTTCATGGGCACATAGTTGTCTTCAGAACTGGTACTGTCTGAGCGACCCACGACAGGTTTCCCTGGCTAGAGTGAAGGAAACACAAGAGTCACAAGCAAGAAGCAGCAAAGGTGAGATTTGTGTATGAGGTAATGCTATCCTCAATGGTCAGCCACACTGTGAAGCTGTAAGGGAAATGGTGGAAAGGCCAAGGAAGAAGGTAGGGTGGGAGACAGAAATAATCAAGTCTGAGGATCCTTTCTGGGTTTCACGACCTCTTGAGATCCTCTGATAATTTGTTATCTATCTAAAGCATAAAATATCCTTTGTGGCTGGGTTCTCAGAGGTATCGAGATGCCTGGACAAGGCAGAGGGTAGGACTGGCCACGGGCTGCATAAATTTGGGTCAGGACTCATCAATGGCAGGTCAGCATCTAGACCCTGATCAGCTTGGGAAGTGTGTGAAGATTCTTGGTGTAGGAAGCTGAGGTCTAGGGCCAGCCGTGCATCCTCTATCCAGCCAGTAGCAGGTCTTAGGCGTACCTTAGATATCTAGGTCATCAGCAGGCTGCAGGCAGAGTGGCCACAGAGTTGTGCAGTGAGCCATTCTCCAACTCTTGCCCAAGACGTACAACTAAGCTGTGTCTGTCTCGGTCACTTAATTTTCATTGTCTTTCCAGCAGGCTTGGAACTAGGCCCTGGCCTGTTTGCTTACACCTTGGGCCACTGTGGTCAGCCCCCTTATGTGGAGCTGGAATCCTGTACTCAAGCTGCAGCTCTGCCGCCTGGCCTGACTGCAAGCAGCACCCCTGCTCCAGGTCTGCAGTAGTGTCATCCTCCACGTGGCACCTGCTAATTAGGGTTGCAGGATCCTTTTGCTGCTCACACGGCTAGTCAGCCTTGTCCTCCAGATCACTTAAGGAAGCACACTTCCTCCAGACATAGCTGCCTACATTTTATTTGTCCAAAAACAACCTAGGATTCTGAACTGAGACAAGAACACTGGAAAGGACCTACAAGGGCAATGGGCTGTGCAGAAGTTCCAGATAACTTGTAGGTCCATCTTCCAGTCACCCAGTTCCTGACCTTTTCCTTATCCCAAACATTCCAAGGAATCTTGGTCAAGCCCACTCACCAGGAAAGAAGGGATTCCCTCGCTCATGGACTCGGCAGACCGGCCTGTGCTCTCTCCGCTGCGTGGAGGGTACTCATAGGTCTCACAGGAGGAAGCTGTGGTAAAAGAGGGAAGACCATGTGTTGTCATGTTCATCCACAGGCCACCCCCTCCAGGATGGCCTAGAGTCTACTGATATCCCACAAAGTACTATTCTCAACCCAAATGATACACTATTACAAACACAGCCCGCCCCAGCGCAAGTTTCCTCCAGGGCTTCTGGAGCAGCTGCATTGGCATCTGTAGAGAACCAAACCCATCCTTCCTCTTCTACCCCATGCCTGCGCCACTCTTTAGCCTCCTCTAGCACTGACCACTTGTCCTACTCACCCCAGCTCTGTGAAAATGATAGTGACAGTGCTTGATCTAAGTTTCAAATGTTGGTTTTCTTTTCGCAGCCAAATATGAGCTCTTTAGGGTTGGGATATGTTTTGTCCTAGTTTCCAAGTACATGGTGTTTGCTTAAATTGCTGGCTGTCTGAATCACTGCAAAGAGTTCTAATCTAAGAGCCAGGACCCCACGATCAGTTTCATGTTGGCCACTAATAACTAAACTATTATGAGCTTCATTCAGTGGAGACAAGGTTCTGTCCCGCCATGTTCTGCATGGCTTAAACAACAGGAAGGATAAGAAAAGGATTTCCAAAGATAGGTATGGTGGTGCATGGCTGTAATCTTAGATTTCTGGGGAGGCTGAGCAAGATGATGGGAAATTTGAGCCTGCACAATTTAGCAAGACTAAAAGGGCTTGTGATATAGCTCAATGCAAAGGCTCTGGGTTCAACCCCCAGTAATCCATCACCACCACCAAAAAACTTCCAACAACCAACCCCCCAATATGCAATTTTATATATAAAAGCAAAATGCAAACAGAAGAATTGATATTGTTCTGTTTTCCTCAGAGACATGCAGAGATGGAATATACTCAGTAAACAAATGGCAACAGAACTGAGGTACTTTAAGAAGTTCAGACTTAAGCCAAAGAGACTAGTGCAGTTTACAAAACATTCTGAAAGTCTCATTTTTGTTTTATTAGTCTGTTAATCCACATAAGTTTGGCACAAAGTTTGGACTGGTTTTCTAAATTTATTTTATAAATGTTTGGTTTGACTTTTAAATGAATAAAAAATTATGATTTGGTTTTCCAAAACCATAATATGTAGTACTGTGGTTGACCAAGAATATTCTGTGTTCCTTAGTAGAATATTCACTTCTCCAAGTTGGGGTTTGCCATGGTGGGTGTCATGAAAACAGAGGATCAATGCATAAGGGACTGAATAAGAAGATGTCTAATTAACCTGGGTGGCCCTTAGCTATGGGTGACCACATGGTAGCAAGCCATTGAGAACCCCTCACCTCCCTCTCCAAGCAGGGCTCAGCTGCAGCTTACACTGACCTCGGTGCAGTCGGCTGTTGTCCATTGCTGGGAGTGTGTTGCGCCTGGGGATTGTGGCAGCGACAGATCTATTTTCACTGATCGGGGGTCTCTGCTGAGGGCTGCCCCATCGAGGTGTTTCTGCCTGACTTGGCTTGGGGGGCCGGGGAGGGGGCGCTATGGCTGAATCCCCATGAGAGGCCACAGTCATGGCATTGTGGTTCCTGTCCAGCGTGAATGTCCTAGGGATCTGGTAGGCTGAGAGTGGAGTGCTTGGAACATCCATATTGTCCACCAGGAGGTCCCCAAACTCCCGGCACAGTGTGTTGCTAGGCGTCTTGAAGGTGTACACATCTTCGTTATCTGTCTCAGACCCTGTGAGGCTGCCCTTGGTGCGGCCGTGGGCAGCTAGGCTCCGGGGGAGGTCATAGGCACTGTCTCTGAACTCTGCATTGTGTCGGCTTGGCTTGGGAAGGCTGTAGAAGCCATGGACCTGACCACTGACCCCGTTGACACAGTGGCCGTTGCCCTGGGCAAGTTTCTGCATGGCTGTGTCGCTCTTCTGCCTCGTCCCTTGAGAAAAGCTGGCACTCCTAGCAGAGAAAGAAGAGGAGGGGTGGCAGTGAGACGAGGTTAAAACTGTCCTCGGGAGGCAAGATGCATGTTCAGAGCCCCAGGAACTCACCAGTATGAACATAGCCCAAGGAGTCAGGTAGATCTAAGGTTTACCTAAGACCTGTGGTGTACTAGCTGTGTGACCCTGGACAAGCGACGTTTTTGGAGCTGTAGTTTAGGCATCTCCAAAATGGTGATTAAAAATACATTTTGAAAGTCATTTAGAATAGACTAGCGTATCTATAGTATGCAGATGTTAAGCTAGAGTCAGTCTTTACTCCTGCTGTCTCCAAATGGCATGAGAAGAGATTAATCTTATTCACATACCTCCTAAACAAATATCAACAAGCCAGTTACACTTACCTGCTCACTGCTTTTTAAGTGCCAGGATATAAACATTTGAATATAAAGGCTATGAGATAGCAGAAAGAACCCTGAAGCTGTGGTCAGAAAATAGCAGGCAATAGCTGGGCATAGTGGCACAAGCTTGTAATCCCAGCATCTGGGAGGGTGAGGCAGGAGGATCCCTGAGAGTTTGAGGCCAGCCTGGGCTACACAGTGAATTCAAGGCCAGCCTAAACTACAGTGAGACACTGCCTCAAAAACAAAACAAAACAAAACAACAAAAGTGTGGGGGTCGTTTTATGTTTGAATCTTAGTTTTCACTTCAACACAGACCAGCTCATTGGTATTGATGCTACCAGTAAGTTGTACAGGTTTAATTGTGAGCTTAAATATAGGCTGTAGATTTATCTTCTAGTTTGCATTATGGTTTGTTGAGAGGCATTAAGTTTTTCCCAGAAATCTAAAAATATATAGGAAAAATGGCTACTTGGGAACTATATTCAAGATGGGAAATCCCCTGCCTTGCCATTTGTGATAAACAGCCAGAGCACTAAAGGCAAGAAAGTAAAAGGGGATAATTTGTGTTAGTTTTCAATACTGCTGCCTATATCTCCATGAGTGACACCATGTCCCGTGCCCCAGCTGTGCCCTAGTGGGTTTCACTGACTTCCAGGACTTCATCTGGCGCTGACGTGGCTGTGTAAGCCTTTGGTGGGAATTAGGGTGTGAAGTTTTAAGCAGTAGGGATCCAAGTCTGATGCCCTATCTTTCATACTATAATTCTTTAGAGAATTTCATTTGGAAAAAAACATGAATCAATCCTTTATAGCAGTGATTCTCTGCCTTTTGGAGGCCAGAGGAATCTTTAAGAACCTGAGAATGTACTGGTAGAGCTTCTCATCAGAATAAGGCAGGTCTCTTACACACACAAGTCTTTGTGCTCTTGTGTGTGTGTGTGTGTGTTTAGGGAGGTGGGGGTTGGGCTGTGTGTGTGTATGTGTGTGTGTGTCACAATTCAGAGGCGGATCTCTGGAACTGCCTGCAGCCTTACCAAAGCGTTCTTAGCTCAGAGGAGCCTGTCATTTAGAGGTGCGGCCACCAGGTGGTGGTAGAAACCAGGGGCCAGAAGTTTAGGAAGGAAAGAACCAGGTGTGTAGATCATGCTTTCAGGTAAATCTGGGTCCTGGGTGGCTGGCAGTTTCCTAACTTTTAACAGATCTCCTGCCTGGGCCTCTGCTTTCCTTCTCCCTTTTTTATTTACTTTTGGGGTTTTCAAGACAGAGTTTTGCTATATTTATGTAGTTCAGGCTAGTTTTGAACTACATAGTCCAGGGTGGCCTTCAGTTTGTGGTGATTCTTCTTTTTTTTTTTTTGCGGTACCGGGGATTGAACTCACGACCTGGCACTTGCCAGGCAGGCACTTATCCCACTGAGCTAAATCCCCAGCCCCAATTCTTCTTCTTCAGTCTCTTCATGTACCACAACACTTGGCTTTACTTTCTCCCCTTTTTAATCCCTTCGAAACACATAAATCAAGCCGACAGCCATACACCTAGATAACTAAACAGGAGGTGGTGCCCTGAAGTAGACCTAAAGAGTTCACATAACTCACATTTGTTTTTGGTGCGTTTCATTTTGTCTTTTGGAATTTTCCAATTCTTTTGGATGCTCCCATCTGGATTTGTTCATTTAACAAACATTTACAGATGTCCTTCTTTGCATCTAGACCAGGCATAATGGCTCAGAAATGCCACTTGCCTTGTGTGGGTTGCACTGGTGGTGATAACCTGTAGATCTTTCCATGAGGTGGAAGGGGCAGTGTGGCTGCCGACAGACTGATTCTGGCCGCCACTGCTGGTGTGGTAGTACAGCATGTCAGGGAAGGCTTCCCGAAGATGCCAAATCTGAGCAAGTCTAGGAATAAGGGCGGCAAGAGCAGCAAAAGGTATTCTTATTGGAGGCACAGAGATGTGTAAGTAACACAACCTGGCCAGTTTGAGGATCTGCAAAATACTCATGAGGAGATGCATTAAAAGCTAAGGCTGAGAAAAGGCAATTACCACATGCTCTCATGCATGTATGGAACCAGAAAAAGTTGTTTTCATTGAGGGAGAGATAATGTTGGTTACTAGAAGTTGATGCACTGGGGAGGTGGCAGGGGAGATACACAGAATACATAATTATACAGAAGTGGAATAAATTTCAAGAGATCTATTGTATAGTACACTGACTATGGTTAATGATGACACACTGCATTTCTGAAAAAGGGTGGAGGTTACATATTCTCACAAGAATAATTGAAGTAATGTGATTTTTAATGTGCTAGATTTAACCAATTATATATTCATACTTTCAAAACACTGTGAACACAACCAAATTATAAATTAAAAAGTTAAATTAGCTGGGGTGGGAGGGTTTGGCTCAATGATAGTGCTTGTCTAGTAAGCATGATTATCTGGGTTCAGTCCTCAGCACTGACCAATGGAGGGATGTGGGAGGCAGAAAACTTCTAAAAAAATGAAAGGTGAGATTAGGGGCAAGGAATATATCACTGTTGTCTAGTAGTAAACTTGAATATATTCAAGAATGGACTCATTATATTCTATCTGAAATCTAATGCTCCTGACTCCCCTGTCAGAAGGGAGCCAGAAGCCAGGAAATTACCCACATTCCAATTTGTAACTCACTAACCTGTTGGGTCTGAGTCCACTTCAATTCAATTCTTATGATTTTTTTGATGGATTAGAGGGCTAATTAATTTCCTTCTCATCTTCCTAGGACCTCACTGATCCTCTATATCCTACTGGTATTTAATTTCTCAACTTCTCCATTCAAACACCCTCAATGTACTGTTATGTTAAGACTATGCCTCAATTTCTTAGGTTTATTCCAACCTCTCTCTCTCATCTTTTCTCTCTAGGTCCCCCTCTGACTCTAAGTGTTGGGGACTACAAATTGACAGAATTTGTCTGAGACCCTCCTTACCCTGCCTTGTGGGCCAGTTTTGGAATGTGGACATCTGCACCCTCTTGGTCACTGAGGCTTAAAGAGAAGGATGCTTAGGACAATATAGGGAAATTAGAGCCCAGGTGTGGGGAAGAATCTTAACTTCTTTATGATGTTAATATGTTCAGAGTGGTTGCCCATTCCACCACTTCTATGCTATTCCAGGAAAAGCACCATACCCCACCCCACCCCCACCCCACGGGCTAAATAAAACACGGCTAGCTGGAGATTCTTGGTCTTTATTCCCAGGGAACATCAATTGTCCCAGAGCCCTGGCAACTGCAATCCTCATCCCTTTCTGTTTTCCGCCAAGTACCATACCTCCACACAAGAGACTAGGGACTCATGGCAGGAGTCCCTGATAACTGGTGCCATGAAAAGGGTCTCAAATACTCTAGGAAGTACTCAGACTAAACTTTGCTGTGTCCTCAATGGGTCTCTATGAGTTGAGCTTCTGACTTTGTTGTTTCCTCTGCGTGGAAGGCTAATTTTTACTTCAATCTAACAGGCTCCTAATCCAAACTCACCCCACGTTATATTTAAAGCAGCCTCTTCCCTCCAAGGATAACCAATCACTTGCTTAACTCTGTTCTTGGAGCAGGCAGCAACTGTTATCTATATTACGTACCACTGTTGCTTGTCTCCTCCAACACACTGTGAGTTCTTTGAGAAACTGAATCTTTGAGAAAAGAAGAATCTTTTTCTCCTCAGCACTCAACTAGTGTTTTTCATGTAGTAAATAAGGTTTATTACATAAAAAGTTAGCAAATGTACATAGAAACAAATGAATAAAAGAAAGCTGCCATCCTTTTCCTGAGCTTGGCGCAGCTTCTGCGGACCAGCAGCTGGAAGCCCTCTCTTACAGGTCTCACTAGCTTATGTCCCAGCATCCTCTTCTTCCGGCCTCAGATCTACTGGTATCCCCACACACATCCCACATAGTGTAGGCTCCAGTCCTGAGCTCACAATACTCATTTCTCTTTGATGGATCAAAATCCAAAGTCCAAAAGAAGCCCTTTACGTCACAAGGCATGGCATCTCCGAGTTGCTTCCACCTTAGTCCCTTCTCTTCTGTGCTCCCATGGCACTCTGCGTCTGCCCCAGCATTTGGCTTACTCAGCCTAGTGTTTATCACGTTTGCCGGTATCTTTCCACTTCTGCCAGACCATGTGCTCTAGAAGGCTGAGTGCCATATTCTGCACTCTGGCACTGGGCCTGGCAGATGGCAGATAATACTGATGTAGGGTGACAGGGGCTGATCATTACTTTGGCAATCAGGCAAGAGCTGTTCAGGCAAGGTAAATAAATGTGCCCAAAGGAGGACATACTTAGATGGAAGAAGTCATTCTAGTTTTCCAGTCTCTGGACACCAACCTCCTGCCACGCAAACTATGCTGAAGTGTTGGACAAGAATCAAGGAGAGAGTTGTTTAAATCATGTAACCATTCTGAGAGGAAAAATATCACCCTTAAATTTCAGGTAAGGAAAATATTAACCGTCAAAATCAGTGCAGGAAGATAGTCCAGTGTGGAGGGGCAGAAAGAAGTTTGGAGAAATTACCTTTCCTGCCTTTCATAGCTGCTTTAGAGGCTGTTAGTGAGGAGCTCTTGCATATGCTTGGGTACTA